TTCAGCTTTGCAGCACAGGAATAAATTATATTTTAAAGGGTATTAAAATAGAAACCATTATTTTATATTGTAATAACATTTTGCAAGATTAACATTTTTTTCTGTATTTTTGATCAAATAAATGCATAAGAGACTTCTTTAAAAAACATTACAAGTCTTACTTATCCCAAACTTTTGACTGGTAGTGTATATATATCAAATGTAATTGTTTAATTTTAGATACAGTATGTAATTATAAGATGAAAACAGTATTCAAATAACATTTTTAATTTATTATTTGATTTTTGTCTCTTCTGGTAGACGGAGTATGCGCGGTTTGAGAACGGCCGCTTTGTGTACAAGATCAACCGGTCTCCCATGTGTGAATACATGATCAACTTTATCCATAAGCTCAAGCACCTGCCTGAGAAGTACATGATGAACAGCGTACTAGAAAACTTCACTATCCTATTGGTAGGTCCTACAATTCCCATGTCTTTTGTAAATGCACATGAGTAAATATGACACTGTATTCGGCTTCAAGTGTTGTCTTGTGTTGCCGATTGCTAAACGCATCAATTCCTGCACTGTTCCCGCAGGTGGTGACGAACAGGGAGACTCAAGAGACGCTACTGTGCATAGCCTGTGTGTTCGAGGTCTCCAACAGCGAGCACGGCGCTCAGCATCACATCTACAGACTGGTCAAAGACTGAAGCTCCTCGACTCGCACGAGTAACACTACGAGCAGAGAGCAGCCAGTGACCCAGAGAACAGTGGAGACTTTATATTCACTGAGGCTTTTAGGCTACACAGCTGACGACCGCCAAGGGCAGCAGAGTCTAGCGGACTAAGAAAAGCCTTTGAATGACTCACGACCTCGTTTTTAAGTGGCTGTGCCTCTGTCAATCCCACCCAGAAGGCTTTTGTCACGTTTTGGGTGAGGTCTGGAATGAATAATTACATTATAATTAGTGTATCTCTTGTGTTTTGGTGTTTATTTTTCATTAACCTGTCGTGTGGGTGAAACGGTACGGTTTTGTTACTGTGTTCAGATGTCTGTTTAACTTTGGTTGATGTTTTAAACCAACATTAATGTGTTTTTGAAAGAACATTGCTTATATAAAAACGTATTGTCATAGTACATGTACATAGTACACTTTTTTTTTCTGTTGCTCAACCTTTTATTCTCACACTGAACTACATTTCAAAGACTTCGCCCCTGGTATTTTTTGACCTTTAGTGGATTTAACTTTAATGAAAGAGCATAAAAAGGTACTGTATTATTTATGTGGAACTACCTGCCTTACACTGCACACGGGCTGTTCCAGTGTGACCTACAGTTATGTATATTAAACACTAAGAAACAAATCATATAAGAAACTTTAAATTCAACCCCTAATCAGTTATTCATTTGTGAATTTTCTTTGCATTTAAAACTGATGTATGTAATTTTTTTCTGTTTAAAATCGTCCTATCCCAGCTTAATATGCAGAGACTCTGAGTAAAGCCATTCGTCGGTTAATTTTCGCAAAAGCTATAAACATTCAGCTGCACTATGAAAATTTCACATTTGTTTTGATCGACCGGCCAATGGTCGACCAATGGAGTGAGTTGGGGGCGGGGCTACCTGGTGTTTTGAAAACAATATTTTTGAAATTCCATTAGGTGGCGCTATTGGCGCAAAAGTGACGAACGTCAGCTTTAAGAAACTAATGCGTTGTTTCTGCTCATATCAGAACAGGCTACACAAGAATGGGAATTTACATAGCAAAATCACCAAAGCATATCGTGCCTTAGTGTTAATAATCGCAGACATCGTCTAATTGTGAGTAGAAGTGGGCTATATATATATATATACACTCACATGAAGTATGTATGTTGTCCCCCTTTTTTTTTTTTTTTTGTCTATCCAGTCTAAGCAAAGTAGGTCACATCTCTCTCGTACACCAAATAAACACATTCTATCACTTCTGTTCATGCCAAGTGAAAGCTACAGGTGTTGAAAGTGCCTTTTGTGTTTTTCCAGCTCAGAAAATTGACACCAAAAAAAAAAAAAAAACATAAAGTGAGTCAGATTTGGATTCTATCACCATAATGCCTATGACATTTTAAAAGCGGGGAGAAACATAATTAAAATTGTACTGGTCTCATTTTGATGGAAGGATATTTTATCTACCATAAGAAAGCCGTTCGTATAGCGGAAGGGCGATACGATTTCATGAACACAGAGGCATCACGTGACTTTAATGACTTTAATGAGTGACAGTCCAGTGCTTACAGGGCCGTCATAACTCTGGGTAATTATAAATGACTCCTGACTCCGAATCAAACTGTCGATCTCAGTCTTATTTAACACACAAGATTATGTTTTGTTCGTTTGTTTTTTGTCAGCCATGTTTTACACGTTTTGCAGAGTATGTTAGTAAAAAGAACTTTAAAAGAGAACACTAATGTATTCGATGCAGTTCTTGTCTGTTTGTTTTCAGTAAGAACACTTTGTCTGGGAGCACTGAAACGTTGAGTTTGGTAGCTTTTTTTAATAGGTGGACTCATGTCAAATAATTGTTTTCAGTTGTGTATATTTTCCTTGAGGGGATGAAAATGAAAAAATAAACTTTTAGTGTTTGTACTGCAAACTGTTTTGCTTAGCGTTTCTATTTTCTCTCCTGCACTAAGTAATTGGTAGCATATTTGTTTACACACACACACACACGTTGTTTTTGAGAAACAAATATTTTACCTGTATGAATGACATGTGGCTTGTTTTGATGGAGTCTGCTGTACTTAAAAAAAACATATGTAATGTTTTTTACAGCCACTAGGTGGCAGTACATTGTAAATAATGACACACTACACGACCCTGTTTTCCGCAATCACTTTATTCATGTTTACCAAACAGAATTGAATACAAATTAAATGAACATGATTATATATAATATATATTTTTAAATTATTTATTATAATTATAAATGTAATAAAAAAATTATTATTATGAACATATTATTACTTAATTATAACAATATTACTACTACTACTACTAATATGCGATATATTATTAGTAGTAGTAGTAGTAGAAGTAGTATTAATATTGTTATTGTTATTATTATATATTACTATTTGTCACTGAACACTGAGCACTGGACCAGCTAAAGAACAAATTCAATGATATGGTTGATAGCTCATTAATGGGCAATAATATATTCTATATTATCTTGTCTAAATTAATTACAACAGTAAAAAAAATTCAATCAATGGTTTTAAATGCTACAACTGAATTTAGAGATCACAACATTATAATTTACATTATGAAAAATTCATTCATTTTTCATTCATTTTCAATTTGCTAAATATTACATTTAATAGTAATATAAAATAATTTCTGTTAAATTATTACGATTACTGACAGGCACTTTAAATCTTGTCTATATGTATAATTAGTGTGTGTGTGTGTGTGTGTATATATATATATATATATATACACACACACACACAGATTATTATAACATTATTATTATTATCAATAGACATATATCGACAGGTCTACAGCACAACAGAACTCTTGATATAATCCTGACGGTTTATTTCACCAGGAAAGTTGTCTTTTGCCCTCTCTCATCTGGGGATATTACAGCCTAAATCCGCACTGACCGATGGAAAATCTGAACATCCGGTTATGCACAGCTGGACAAAACCAGTGTAGTGATTTACGTTATAGCCACTGACCTTTTTCAGACTAACAATAATACACCTCCCTCTAGTGAAGTACTTTACAGGCTTAGGCCTACAGTATGGTCTAAAGCTCATATTTTATCAAAATGTACATTATGTCATCAGTAGACGTACTAGCAATTTAAAGAACTAGTAACACCAATAATACTAACAGATTATAGGTTATATAATGTTTCATGTGGACCAGGGTATTTTGTGTCATGTTAGGAAAGTTATTTTCTCACTGGGGCAAGTCGTCAATTGTTTTAAATGTTACACATTTATGCAGTTTAATAACAAGGGATTCCCAAATGGTTTTGGTCAGCCAAACCTCTTTGACCTGAATATTTACTTGAAAAGAGATTTGAAGTTAATGTTTAAATAATTTCACAACACATTCAGTGTTCACAGTTCTCTAATTGGTTAAACTAAGGAAAACTAAGAAAATATGTCAACACTTTGAGTGTTTTATTTAGATTTTTATATTTATTTTGTTAATTTTTTTATTTTAAGTTTACATTTTTATGATAAAATTATTAGCTTTCCATTCTCTTATGTTGGTTAATGACATGCAGGTAAACTAATATAATATGTAATTTTTTAGCAAGTGTTTTTTTTTTTTTTTTTTTTTACATTTTTATGATGTAATTATTAGTCTTTTTCTCTAAATGTGGTTAATGGCATGCAGGTAAACTAATAAAATATCAACATTTATAGCCAGAATTGTGTATTCTTCATTTATTTTTAATGAATTTTATTTATTAATTTAGGCTACTTATTTAAATTTTTATTAAGCAATTGTTAGCTTTTTGTAAACGTAATACCCTCAAGGGTTGATGAGCCCCAGTTTGGAAAACCTTGAATTACAATACTTGTTAGTCAAAACAAAGATTCCGTATTTTTGTGTTAGTTTTACAATTTGGGGTGTTTCAAAATTGCTCTGTGATTCATAGTTGTTTTGTGTGTTTACATTTCGCTGAAACGTCTATATAGGCGGCTTAATTGCAGATTCCATTGTGACAACCTACCTATTACAGTGTGTGACAACCTGCCCCATTATTGGTCAACATATGTTCAGTGAAATGTTCGGATGCATTTTTGCTTACACAGAAATGCTTTCAAAAATAATGGCATAAATGGAGTGAAAAGTGACAACCAGTCCATATATTCACAGCATGCGTTTATGATCATCTGAGTGCATTATTATCTATATAATGAGTGAAGTTGGAGTTTAATGTCATGTGATGTTGGGACTCGGTGGGCGGGGCCTGCGCGCTCAGAAACACGCTGCTGCAGTTCAGAGACGAACACAACTCTCAGCGCGCGGCGACGACTCGTCTGTCTAGTGTAACATTTTATCAATGTGACAGTGCAAAGTGAAACCGGTTTATTGGACCTCGATGTGAGTTATGGAACAAGAAGAGAGCAAAATCTCGGTGTGGGTATGCCGGGAGGAGAAGCTGGTGTCCGGAGTGTCCAGACGCACCACCTGCGCGGATGTAGTGAAAGTGCTGATGGAGGACCAGAACTTCCAGAAAGGCGCGATGCTCACCGGTCCTCCACAGTCGTACTGTATCGTGGAGAAATGGAGGGGTTTTGAGCGGATTCTGCCGAATAAAACCAAAATCCTGCGGCTGTGGAGCGCCTGGGGCGACGAGCAGGAGAACGTGCGCTTCGTCCTGGTCAGGAGCGACGCGTCGCTGCCCAACAGCGGACCGAGGAGCGCCGAGGCGCGGGTCGTGCTCAGCAAAGAGAGCCCTTGCACTACCAGAGCCACCATGCAGATTACACAGGAAAAACAGCGGAGGATTGTGCGGAAGGCTTTTAGAAAGTTGGACAAAATTAATCGGAAGAGAGAGGAGACTTCAAAAGACAAACCATCAGCGGAGAAAATGGAAACGCTCGTCCACCTCATTATTTCGCAGGATCATACTATCCGACAGCAGATACAGCGAATAAAAGAGCTGGATGGTGAAATCGAGAGGTATGAATCGAAAGTTCACTTTGACAGAATGAAAATACACGGCGTAAACTACGTGCAAGACACTTATTTGCTCGACCAAGGCTTGGATAGCGATTCCAGCGCGCATCCGGACGCGTCCTTTGCGCAGTTTGAGGAATACGCGGCACGCTGCGATCAAGTCATTCAACTTCAGGAGGAACTGGCCGAGAGGGAGGCTCTGATGGAGATACTTACAGGTGAAATACAAGAAGAACTCAACCACAGGTGGATGAGACGGCGACAGGAGGAGCTCTCCAACAAAGACGCGGAGAGCACTGGAGAAGAAACGGCTCTCAAGGTGACTTCGGTCCCAGTTGTGCCGGACCTAACAGACAACGAACTCCAATTAGAGGAGGAGAGGATCAAAACACAACTGGATACGAGTTTATACATCGGGCTGCGCTTGAACACCGATCTGGAGACGGCGAAGAGCGACTTGGATTTGAGTCAGGAGCTTTTGGACGCGAAAGAAAAGGAGTTGAGGGAATTACTCGAAAAGGTTCACAGATTAGACGAGTTGGAAGAGAAACAGGCGGAAGACAGCAAAGATGAGGGAGAAACCGAACAACTGCCTTCCGTAGACAATGTTTGGGTAGAGCAGGCGAGGGGACTGTCCAAAACCTGCACCAATGATGATGACTCGGACACCGGATTGAGTTCAATGCACAGCCAGGACTCGGATAACGCGCCTGTTTGCGAGTCACTTGTGTGACAAGACGATTTAGAATCATTCAATACGGCGCCAACTCAGGGAACATTTCGCCTCTTGTTGATTTCACGAATGTTCTCTTTATAAGAGAGGAACGCATGTAAATTATACCAGTCTAGTGTTATGATCGCCTCACTCTCTAATTGCCTCACTTATACACATGGAGAATAGCTTGTAAGGTGCAGCTTAGCAAATTAGAACTAATTAACCAATGCATAGACTGAGATGTCCACTGTGAGCTGACTAATGTTGCAATACCAGCAGTATGTATTTGTTTTCCGTTGCCTTACGTGTAAAAGCTAGCATTCGAGTTTTGTGGGTTTTTATTTCCCAAATGTTATATAATGTATTCAAATTTGACATTGTTTCTCTTCTGGGGGGAAAAAACAACAACTAATGACTCATCGTGCATTACACTGATTTTTATCTAATCAGATGTTCTCTAGAAATAAGCTAATAAAACATCATAGGAATTTGTAGTTGATGCATTTGAAGTCTATTGGCTTTTTAAAAATAAAATCATTAGACTTTCAATATGCCCCACCCACACTTCCTTTTCAACAGGAAGAACGCTGACCAGTGCAGCTGTAGCTATGGTACAAACATGAACCATGATTTGCTAGTCAGTTGCAGGTGGTGTTATGGGGCGGGGCATTCTGACTCTATAGAGCATCTAATTGGACAAAAATCTGTGTAGTGCGGGATGAGTCATCAGTATTTTTGGTCAGTTTTACCAGAAGAAAATTATTCAAAAAAAATTTTTTCTCTCAACGTTTAGCATATAGAATTCCTAGAATTAATGTACATGGACTAAAAACCACAAAACTCTAATTTGGTTTAATGGGGTCTTGAGAATTGTTTATTGTACAACATTTAGGCAGATCAAATATCTGCATTGAGCAACTATGTGCTAATCCCTTCCATGTTCACCAGCTGACTAATTAGAACAATTCGCTAATAGCTTTTACTCAAGGAATCAATTTGCATAACCAGAAAACATCCTGTGCTGTGGGAACTGATGTTGTGGGAATCAAAAGGTGCATGCGCCGTGCTGCTGTTTATTCATACTTCTGAGGAGCTGATGCGTGAAGCCCTGTTTGCTCACAGTAAAAAGAAAGACTGAAGCAATTTCAACGAGACAGCTCCAATTAAACGAAATGTACAGTCTTCTAGACATACTGGAATTTGCTGTCATTTCTGCTTTTTTTTCTTAGTCACGAGGGACCTTTTAGGATCATGTGTCATTGACTAATCTTATACAGTACATATGATTCCTCTATTGCAACTAATAGCAAAATTATCAAGTGGAATGTTTTTGAATGCTGTTGTAGCATTTCTTCTAAATTTGTGGATAATTTATTCATTATATCTTTATATGAATTAGAATTAACTTCAGAATCAAACTTTAAAATGAAGTGTAGTACAAATGCATTATAAAGCATATACTCACTTAAAACATGCTAGAAACTGTACATTTTGCTCCAGTATGACCTCAGCATCATAACCAACACAGAGTTTCTTAAGTTTGGGCAGGGCATCCATCCAGCGCAATGCAGCAGAGTCACCGAGTTCAGGGATTCTGTGCTGTATGAAGAGGATTTAAGAGTTAAGCCTTAAAAGTGATGTTTTAAAACAGAGGAAGAAAAGGGAAAGAACCGCCCTCCCACTTCATTCTCAATTTAGAGATGAGAGATGAATTATGACATTTGGAAAAGCCCTAATATGTCAGCTCCCAGATAAAAGAGGCAATTGTATATAAGAAAAGAGTGTTTTATGTTCGACCGCCACAAACTTTAAATCATATAAACATCAAATTAAAGTTGAATAGAAGTCCTCTGTTTGCTCTATGATTTATGCTCTTAAATTTAGCAGTTTATTTGTTAAAAAATAATTAGCTATTTAAAACGAGGCAAATCCATCAGAAGTCATATAAAAGGGGAAAATTCTGGGTCTGGCAGCAGTGAGTTCTGTGATTAAAGTCGAAGAGGAGGAGGAGGAGGGGGACATGATAAAGCGCCATTAATCTGGATTGGATTGAACCACTTCAAATAAACAAAAGCGCTGACGGGTTTGGAAGAGATTCAAGAACAGCTGGACGAGCAGGGAAGCACAGCATGCCAATGTGGGACAAACAGCGTTGAATGTTGAATCAGGCGACACGCTGAGAATGACATTCAACAAAACCTTCAGGATTGTTCTTGGAATCGCAAGAACTGCTGTATTGTACAAATGTAGATCTGATGTTTGCCATTATTTATTGTCCTGTTTATCTGTGTAAAATAAAAGCAGGGGATTGTGACGATAGCCCAGCGTGTTTATGAGTTCAGAGCCGACGCAGGCTCATTACACGAGAGTAATTGAGATCCCCATACAGTTTTGGCAGGATCAAAGACGCGTCATTCAAAAAGTCCTTTAAGCACTTTAAATGACATCTCACAATGAGATAGTAATACAAGACAGTTCATTTCAAAGGGGCACGTTCAATAACCGCTGTCATTCATTACAGGAAGTGATGCGTGAATGATTGACACATGAAAAAAATACCTCAAAGGCAAAAAAGTGTGTCAATTTTGGACTTGGCATCAAAGTTAATGTGTAGAATGAGCTGTAATTGTTGTCTTAGATTACCACAGCGTAACGAACAAATTTGAACCTCTCAGGCTAGAATGAAGCTGCCATTGTTAGCAGTATGTAGCATTTAACTTAAAGAAAAACAGGCTATGTAGCTTTTATCGTAAGGAATGATAATTCAGTTTTTCTTGAGAAGGAACTATTGGTTTCCAGTTTTTCTTGAGAAGGAACTATTGGTTTCCAAAGCAACCATTACAAACAACCAAAACAAAACACCTCCTTATTTTGTCCAACCTCCTTATTTCAGACATCAGAAATATATATATATATATATATATATATATATATATAGATGGATAGAGATTTTTAGTAATGTTTAGAAATGACTGATGAAAATTTACATCACAGAAACAAATTACATTTTAAAATATATTAAAATAGAAAAGATATTTTAAATTGTAATAATATTCCCCCATCAAATAAATGCTGCCTTGCTAAACATATGAGACTTCTTTCAAAAACAATATAAAATCTTACCAACCCCAATCTTTTAAACAGTAGTGTATATATATTAACTCAGTGAGTAACGTGTCTTTGATAACGTCATTCAGCAAAACTATTAAACACTGAAGGTGTTTTCCTGCCCTTCCCACATCTGCTAAGGTGAATTCCTGCTTTCCCATGATATTCAGTCTGTGGTGAAGCAGCACTAACAGGTTTCAGTACGTTCAGTCATAATGTCAGCTGATGAACTTGTTATATATTCAGCACTGTTCAATTAGCACAGAGCTGCTGAGCCTATTACAGCACCCAGGTGCACAGACACACACAGCTGCACACAAACCTGCCTGGTACAATCTCAGCGAAATAAAAAAAATACAGGTCAAATTATAAACATGTTTGTATGGAAAAGGAATGAAAGGTGTCATGACAGTGCATGTCAGGGAAATGAGCCAAGAAGCTATACAATATATATATATATATATATATATATATATATATATATATATATATATGCAATATAGAAAGGTTTTGAGAGAGCACACAAGCAAAACTATACCAAATCCAAACTATATTATTTAAAAAAAAGGATGGATGTTTCATAGTCAGAATGAACACTTGGAAGGATGAATGTTTCAAAATACACAGAGTAAAGCTCTGTAATTGCTATGACACAAATGCACGTGCACATGCAGATTGAGCGCTGAAATCTCTCTGAGACATTAAATGCCCTCATGTGACTTGCACAAGAAGATTATAAATAATAGTTTCCTCGGGCAATGCCTCAAGAGAAGATTAAGATCGGCCGGTAGCGAAGTTTAGTTCAATTCCAAATTACACAGTACACAGACGGCATGGCGAAAATATTAAAGCTAGCAGAGAATCTGGCTATATCACTCACAGAGATGAATTTATTTCCAACTGTTCAGCCATGTGACATGTTTTTTTTTTTTTACATCACTTGGCATTGTGACTGATTTCCGCTCAGATTATGCTTGGAACACTTTTGTAAACAATAATAAAATTATACTAGAAGAAAATAATATAATAGAAATAGAAAAAAACCAAGAAAAAATAATGGATAAACTGATGTTTGTTTTAATTGAGTTTGAATGTGAGAAGAGATGGTGGGGGAGGGATTTGTAGTATAAAGAGGTCATCCACAATACCGTGTTTATTTCTCTGCATTTAACCGCAGTGATTTACAGTAAAGGAATGAGGGTTTGTAATAAGGATTACTCATTTACAAAAGGTAAACTCATCTGGCCTGCTGCCTTGACCCCAGTGACAGCCAAAAACAAACCCAGTCGATGAGGAAACCAGTTTTGTCAGTCACAATGTTCCTCAGAACGCGGTTCTACTTCACTGCATCTTAATTATTCTATGTAAAAATGTGTTATTTATGGAAGCACATTTCCGTCAAGCAATAAAAAAAATAAAAAAAAGGAACTTCTGATTTTATCGCACAATTCTGTCTTTTTAATCGCAATTCCGAATTTATTTCTGACAATTTTCATTTTTTTCATTAAAATCAGAAATGCAAGATATAAACGGAGAATTGGGAGATAAAAATTCACAATTACCTTTTTACTGTTTATTCCATGGCGGAAATAAAACAATATAGAATTGCGAGATGTAAACTCAGAATTCAGTAAAAATAAAAAAAAAAGTCAGAAAAGTGAGATGTAAACTTGAAATTGCTAGACAAAAAGTCAGAATTCTGAGTTTATATCTCATTTGAGACTTTTTTTCTCAGCAAAGTCCAAACTGTGAAGATAAAATGCCACAATTAGCTCCTTTATTTATTTATAGTTATTTATTTAAATTCCATGGCAGAATGGGCTTCTGTAGTTATTAGCCTATTTTTGATGTTGCAGGGCAGTGAAACAACAACTTTTTGAACAAAGTTGAACTACAGAGTTCTGGCATGAAACTCTAGATGGAGCAGTCCAATAGGTCTAACTCAATCAAGCGCCATTAATCTGGATTGGATTGAACCATTTCAAATAAACAACAGCTCTGACTGGTTTGGAAGAGATTCAAGAACAGCTGGACGAGCAGAGATGCACAACGTGCCAATGTGGGACAAACAGCGGCCGTGTTGAATCAGGCGACACGCTGAGAATGACATTCAACAAAACCTTCAGGATTGTTCTTGGAATCGCAAGAACTGCTGTATTGTACAAATGTAGATCTGATGTTTGCCATTATTTATTGTCCTGTTTATCTGTGTAAAATAAAAGCAGGGGATTGTGACGATAGCCCAGCGTGTTTATGAGTTCAGAGCCGACGCAGGCTCATTACACGAGAGTAATTGAGATCCCCATACAGTTTTGGCAGGATCAAAGACGCGTCATTCAAAAAGTCCTTTAAGCACTTTAAATGACATCTCACAATGAGATAGTAATACAAGACAGTTCATTTCAAAGGGGCACGTTCAATAACCGCTGTCATTCATTACAGGAAGTGATGCGTGAATGATTGACACATGAAAAAAATACCTCAAAGGCAAAAAAGTGTGTCAATTTTGGACTTGGCATCAAAGTTAATGTGTAGAATGAGCTGTAATTGTTGTCTTAGATTACCACAGCGTAACGAACAAATTTGAACCTCTCAGGCTAGAATGAAGCTGCCATTGTTAGCAGTATGTAGCATTTAACTTAAAGAAAAACAGGCTATGTAGCTTTTATCGTAAGGAATGATAATTCAGTTTTTCTTGAGAAGGAACTATTGGTTTCCAGTTTTTCTTGAGAAGGAACTATTGGTTTCCAGTTTTTCTTGAGAAGGAACTATTGGTTTCCAAAGCAACCATTACAAACAACCAAAACAAAACACCTCCTTATTTTGTCCAACCTCCTTATTTCAGACATCAGAAATATATATATATATATATATATATATATATATATATAGATGGATAGAGATTTTTAGTAATGTTTAGAAATGACTGATGAAAATTTACATCACAGAAACAAATTACATTTTAAAATATATTAAAATAGAAAAGATATTTTAAATTGTAATAATATTCCCCCATCAAATAAATGCTGCCTTGCTAAACATATGAGACTTCTTTCAAAAACAATATAAAATCTTACCAACCCCAATCTTTTAAACAGTAGTGTATATATATTAACTCAGTGAGTAACGTGTCTTTGATAACGTCATTCAGCAAAACTATTAAACACTGAAGGTGTTTTCCTGCCCTTCCCACATCTGCAAAGGTGAATTCCTGCTTTCCCATGATATTCAGTCTGTGGTGAAGCAGCACTAACAGGTTTCAGTACGTTCAGTCATAATGTCAGCTGATGAACTTGTTATATATTCAGCACTGTTCAATTAGCACAGAGCTGCTGAGCCTATTACAGCACCCAGGTGCACAGACACACACAGCTGCACACAAACCTGCCTGGTACAATCTCAGCGAAATAAAAAAAATACAGGTCAAATTATAAACATGTTTGTATGGAAAAGGAATGAAAGGTGTCATGACAGTGCATGTCAGGGAAATGAGCCAAGAAGCTATACAATATATATATATATATATATATATATATATATATATATATATATATATGCAATATAGAAAGGTTTTGAGAGAGCACACAAGCAAAACTATACCAAATCCAAACTATATTATTTAAAAAAAAGGATGGATGTTTCATAGTCAGAATGAACACTTGGAAGGATGAATGTTTCAAAATACACAGAGTAAAGCTCTGTAATTGCTATGACACAAATGCACGTGCACATGCAGATTGAGCGCTGAAATCTCTCTGAGACATTAAATGCCCTCATGTGACTTGCACAAGAAGATTATAAATAATAGTTGCCTCGGGCAATGCCTCAAGAGAAGATTAAGATCGGCCGGTAGCGAAGTTTAGTTCAATTCCAAATTACACAGTACACAGACGGCCTGGCGAAAATATTAAAGC